CGGTGACATTGCCGGACGCGGCCCTGCTCGCCTGGCCTTCCCCGGCTCACCCGCAGCCCTCAGGTGCTTGGCAGTTTCCCTCCTCCCTCATTTTTGTTTTTTTCTGCCACAGTTGGTGGGGCTCAGCGATAGGGTGAGCAGGCCACACGGCAGATGAGGTGATCGTTGTGATCAAACACATAAACTCCTTGTGTTATCTGGTATTTTGCCCTTGTCCCCCCACCCCGTGTTTGAAGTAACCTCCCCGTATTTTGAATATGAATTTTGTCTTTTCCCCTCTAGGAACTGCAGATCAGAGACCTGGCACTCCTAGGAAGAGGCAGAATACATAACAGCACACAATAGCTCAAGAAAGACAGGTATTACTATTAAAGTATTTTTTTAAAACACTTTTAGTAGCAGGGGAAAGAGAGAAGAAAACAAAAGGGAAAGTAGGAAAGCAATTCAGAAGGAAGCTACTGTTCTTCCCTCCCTTTCAGCGTAAACTTTTCAGTGCAAGCGCGTTTCCCCCTTCCTGCAGTGAGCATCCCCTTTCCCTTGTTATTTGTAATCTTCCGTTCAAGCCTGCGGCAGGCAGGCGATGACAATTTGAAGTGCAGTAGAATATTTTGCGTACTCCAGCTATCTGAGCAGGCTGTGAACTGGCTGCCCCCTCTGATGGAAGGAGGAGGTTTTGCACTTCAAGACACATCAACAACAGCTCCAGCCCATAGCTGGCGGTTTTCCTTCACGTGGCAGCGATAGCTGCGTCACTGGTCTAAACAAGGTGCCAGGAGAAGGTGGTCAGATCACCCTGCGCCAACCTCGCCCTGTTCTCATAAGCTTCAGACCAAGCCTCCCACCAAGAGGGAGCTCACAGCTTATTAGGCACTGCAGTAAATTTTATGTGAACTGTTGCATCTTATTATTCATGTAGTGGTTGACCACACTGATCTTCCTCTATTAGAGGGAAGATAGGGCTTATATTTAAAGATGTAATAGGAGGCTAACTTGTTCAAGTAACGGTATGCAAAGCCTCATGGTAAGCAATGACAATCTTCCTTGTTGCTACCTTTAAGAAACAGAAGCAAGGTTCAAATGCCAAGTGGGAACGATGTCTGGCAAGTAGAGCTAATCATTGCACTGAAGGGCAGTGACTGACCTTCTGAAGCTCCACCCTTCGGTCTCCTTAGACCCCTTTCCTGTCAAAGCAGCCCTCAAGCAGACAGAAGCCTTTAAGACCTCTTCTCCCTCGCCCACCCTTAGGATCTGATTCCTAACCACCTGTCCAAAGCCCATTAAGCAAGGCACTCCGAGAGGGAGAAGTTTTATTTAGACATTGTATCACACTTACATTCAACACAATGATCAGTATAACCACTTAACCCCAATCAGCTCATTCTGCTTTATTGTTCATTTTTCCATTTTGTGCTGATTTCATCTGCTCTTGTGAATGGAATCACATCTGTAGAAGCTATGGCAGAGAAATCAAGCCATGAGGTGGACAACAGTGTTAATAGATGAACTAACAAGTATGAGACAGCTTTAGACTTATTACTGAAGTTTTTTCATTCTTAGGTCAGTTCTTGCAAGATGGTTCGCAGCTTCACATGTTCTGAATGCTTAAGCTAAACCTGTAAGATAAAAAGTTATCACAATTAATCATGCTTAATTTTGAATCCATAAACCACAGGTAGCCCTCCTCGCTACAAAGCGGCTGTAAAACAGGACGTTCCCTTCCTCCCCTCCTCTTTTTGCTGGGACACTGAACGGAAGACTTCAGCAGTGTCCACCAGACACACACGTTGGGAATCTCCCATTCTCCCCTCAAGTCAGAGTCGTCCTGTCAGTTGTGCCACAGAGGCACTTGATACAGCACAGGAGACCAGGGCCAGCAAGGCTATGGATACAGGTTTCTTTTCTCTAAGCATGCTGCCTCCCCTCTCCCAAGCAGTCAGTGTCAGTCTATGTACCAGCACAAAAGGCTTCAGAAATTCATTCCCTTCCCACCATCTCCAGTTACATGTCCCGGACCAAAACAAGCAAGCCAAAGAGTTTCAGTGCGAGTATCTGGTCTGTATCCATCCATATTCTTGACAGAACAGACTTAAATACCAGACATATGCCCAAGATCATTAATTTTACTGATCAGCTCATTTAGCAGTTGTCTGCTACTACTGTCTACTCACCATTAGCAAACCTGCACTGCTTCAGTACTTCACTGAACCCCTCACACAGCTTGAGGTCAGTCTGGTTCTGCGCACACTCCAGGAATTGCTTCATTTCATACTGACAAGGGGCAAACTGCTGTTGCTGCTGGTAGGCAGGCTGAGCTGCTTGCGGTTCCTGAAAAAGCAGAAATTTCCATAAGCACACTTTGAAGAGCTCTAGGCCATGGATCTGCACCACCCCAGTATCGCATGCTGTGCCTCTTCCATGCGTCCTAGTCAAAACATTGTATTACTTACTGAATACAAACCAAGTAGGTTTAGGTACAAAACAGTTTACAGCAGTGACATGAGACACTGATGCATGTTTTCTAGATTACAAATATTTAAGTAACTTTGTATAATATCTGGACAAGATATAGTAGCATTACATTAATGTTCGAGCAGCATAAAACATAATCTTGGACACAGATCTTGATTTACCATCATCAGACCTAGAATACAGAAATCCTTGTCCGAATCAGAAGCGTATTAGAGTAAAAAAATCACAACACTAATACCCCCATTACCACAGTCACATATCACTTGTGTCCCTTTGAACTGCTTCTGAGGTATACATGGTGACGAGGTAATTAACCTGGAGACTAAGTTTCTAAAGTTACCTAGTTTTCTCAGCTGCAACTTGTGTGGTCATTACATCTGCAGCAATTATCTTAGCCTATATATAACTGCTCTCTCAAGTGAGCTGTGCTTTGTTAGGGCCCAGTTGTACTCTCTCTTACCTGATAAGTAATATCGGGCCTTGCAGCTTCAGAGCTGCTTCCTCCACCAAATCCTCCTGTAAGTGCATGACCTATGGTATGGCCTACAGCAGAGCCTACAGCAACTCCTGCAGCAGTTGTTGCCATCTGTGCCATCAGACCAGGCTGCTTCGGCGCAGGAGAAGCCACAGCAGAAGGTGGTGCTGCTGCTGGGACAGGGGCCGGAGCAGCAGGTGCTGGGGGTGCAGCTCTCATTTGTGGTACCCGACTGCAAGGACATAAGGAGAAATTCAAATCCTCGCTCCAAACTCAAACCTGCAGGGGCCTGCTGGTTACAGGCAATGAATATTCACGATTCCTGGTTTTGGACGCTCTGTGCATCCTTGGCAAGAACTCATTCTTCCGCTGAGTGATCTATGCGCAGCAGCTCCGGGTTTGGGTTTTTATTTTAGGAGAGGCCTTTGTTTTAAAGATCA